GAGAGGTGGTGGAGGCCCCATCCCTGGAAACGTTCAAGGCCAGGTTGGACGGGGCTCTGAGCAACCTGATCTGGTTAGCAGTGTCCCTGCTCACTGCAGGGGCATTGGACTAGATGACCTCTAGGGGTCCCTTCCAACCCAAAACATTCTATGATTCTATGATTCTATGAGGTGTTACAGCCACCGAGTGCAGCGAAGCCTAAAGGGGCACCACGCCTGCCTCCCAGAACCACTGGAACTCTCCCCCAAAAACCTCCCCACCAACACTCCAAAGGAGACCCCCACGCTGGGACCGGAGCCTGCTCCCACCCGTAGGACATCCCTACCCAGATCCTTGCCCCGGGGGTCAGGGTCTTTCTGGAGGAATGCTGGAGCAGGACAGCCTTAGGCAGAGCCACAGCAAGGACGAGGACGGAGACAGACTCTTCTCAGTGGTGCTCAGCGACAGGACAAGGGGCAATGGGCACAAACTGAAACATAAGAGGTTTCAGTTGAATATGAGGAAAAACTTCCTCACTTTGAGGGTGACAGAGCACTGGAACAGGCTGCCCAGGGGAGTTGTGGAGTCTCCTTCTTATTCAACGCCGGCCTGGACGATGTCCTGTGCAACCTGCTCTGGGTGAACCTGCTTTAGCAGGGGGGTTGGACTGGATGATCTCCCGAGCTCCCTTCCAACCCCTGCCATTCTGCGATTCTGTGAAATCCCAGCTGTATGCGAAAGACTGGAAATCCCCAGTGGACCCCACTAAGGAGGTTCCCCGCCACCAGTCCCTGCTTCAGTTACTGAGGCAGGGGGGAGAGGAGGAAGGCAGAAGTTGGGAAACAGTGACTTCAGAGCGTAACTCCCTCCCCGCGGACTCTGGGAGATGACAAGCATTGTAATTTTAGGAAAGACATGACGCTGAGCACTGCTTTACGGTACTGTCTTTAATCACTGAAATCACAACAGGCCAGCGGCTTTCCCCCACCCCCCCCCCCCCCGCCAGCCTTCTGCCTTTATAAATATTTTAACAGCACAGAAGAAAAGAGGGCTGTGTTCACAGGTGGCTAAGGTTAGTTACACCAGCACAAATCCTAAAATACTCTCTCCTGGAGTCAAGCTTTGAAGGAAACATAAACAAAATAATTAGTACCGTTCAGTATCGCTAGCCAGGCTCTGGATTTGCTTTCCAGATACAGAAAGCCACAGCCTGCGTGTGCGCGTCCGGGTCCCCGCCTGGCCATGCACCGCAGACCTGCTGCGCAGCAGTTTCTTCCCATCTCTCATCTTGTCTTAGTGGGCTCCTGATGCATATTGCCACGCGAGCTTCTGGCTGCCCTGGAAGCAAGCAGGGTGAGGATTTTTATTGCTCAGAAAAGCTGAATTTTGCTTCTCCTTCGGATGGGTGAGAAGAGCAGCTCTGGGGTCTGTCTGGGCTCACGGCAGGAAGACGTCTGCCCCATGGGCTGCAGTAAATCCACCTAGTGCCACTGCAGCCAGCGAGTGGCAGGACGCAGAAACGGAAAAGAAGAATGAACGTGCAAATGCAGTGTGACCAGAGAGGCAACACCCCCACCCCCACCCCCCCCCAGCTTCTCCCGGTGATGCTGGTGCTCGGCCTCAGAGGATGGGGGGAAAGGGACACATATCTGGCCATAGCCTTTCCCTGCCTGCAGGTACTGACTCCAGAGATGTCTCTCCAGCAAGAAGCCTGGGTCAACTTGTCCTTACATTCACACACAGAAGGTTGCTCAAAATGCATCTACAAGCACTTGGCACGGGCACAGAGGTGTGAAAGGCAGGTCTCTTGCAGGCAGCATGTGCCCCGTGTCCATGCGCACAGACACGACAGCACACGCGATCCCAAAAGGAGACACGGAGCACGCAGCCGAGGCCGACATGGAAGAAGCACGGTCCAGACCAGTGTACGCAGGTGCACTTCCCCTCAAAACCCCCTCTAATAAATGTCCAGGAATATGACAAACAAAAGCAAATCCCCTCCGTGCCACCTTCTCCCCTGCTCTCTGTAATCACCCACCCTCTTTTCCTTACAGCTACTATACTTTTAAAGTCACATCCTTCTTTCTCTGTGCACCCCTGCTGCTTCAGTACATATTTTTGTTTATTGAACAAAAACGTTGGCAGTCCGCTTCAGCAATCTTTTCAAGGCAACTTTTACACTGCCGCAGCTTCATCCCCAGGTATGTCTGCTCTGTAATAAAATCACTCTGCCCTTGATCCAACACTGACCTACGCACACACATTGATTTTCATGTACATGTGCAGCCTTACTGGTTTCAGTGGGACTGCCTGCCTGTGTACTTCAAATTTAATGCAGACAGAGTCCTTCATGCAATTTTCTTAGCAACAGCAAGCAGAGCACAAAGCTCTCGCTGCATCGACCAGCAGCAGGCTGATATTCAGGTAATTTGGAGCATCAGGTCAAAGTGTTCAAGTAAGGATGGGGAGCACGTGTCCATTTTCCTTTAAGCAAGGACTCGGTTTTGCTGTAGCTTAAATAATGAAGCGGTAAAATTTCCAGGGAAATACAGAACTGCAAAATCAGGACTAAATTCATGAGGAAGAGCACGCCCCTGGGCTGGCACCCAGGGCTATGAACTCACAGGAGGCACAGGAGGAGGTCACAGTAGTGCTTACAAAAGACCCAGATACTGAAATTCAGGGATGCCAAATATTTGCCCAGTGCTATAAATCAGCACAAGGAGAAAGCACAGGAAGATACTTGCTTTCTTCTCTCAGCAGCCAAAGATACCCCTTCCTTTCAAACGGCCAGCCAGACCCATACAGCTCTTACGAGCCCAGTTTCCCCCTTCCACATCTGCCATGGCACACCTCACACTGACAAGTACTCCACTGTTTCCAGACCAAGGAGCTATTCACTTTGTAGTAAAAAGATCTACAACCCCCACCCCCCCCCATTTAAACCCTGGAAGACTGGGAAAACATTTAAAAAAACCCCAAAATGAAACTCAGAAACTGAAGACCCACAGACCACATCAAACACTCCTCACAGGGATATTTGAAAATGCTGTTCCTTGCACTTAATGTCAGGGCAGTTTCCTAAATCACTTTGATCACAGGTGTTTCTTACACTTTAAATTACACAAAAATGTCTGCTGCTTCTATAGCTGGGGCTTTTCCCCTGGCTTTTATGCAAAAAATCCCTATTTAAATGAGTTTCCGAATTCTAAACAATAGAAATTTAACAGCATGATCTGAAGGAAAAAAAAAAAAATCTATTAAGCTCTGGGCTCCTGAAAGCAAGTTTCATGGAATTCACTTGAATAACTATTTGCATGTGAGTTACTCATTACCAGCACAATGGGACTTCCAAGGGTCCCTTACCCTAAAATCAGCCAGAAGAGCATGCTGGGGGAGGAATTAGGACTAACTTTTCAGAGCATGTTTCAGCATCTTAATAAAATAAAAAGACACCGAGCTTCATGTGAACAGCAAAACCCAGTGTGTATCAGGCGGGTGACAGGCAGAATTTAACATGTTTTCTGAAATTCGTCTGCAGAGCACCCAAAGTCTCACACCTCCAGCTCCAGAGCTACCCGCCCGCCCATTTTTTTCTTTTGGGGGAGCTGCCTGAAGGCAGCAGTGAGGGCTGGAAGCTCCACAGATGCCTGGCAGGGGGTCAGGAGGAGGAGGAGAAGAAGCCTCCCCTGCCTCCCCACCAGACCCACCATCAGGCAGCTGCAGAGCCAGGGACAAGCTGGGGACAGTCAGCATGGACTCGGACACCCGCAGCCTAGGAGAAAAGGCAGGAATAATAAGGAGCTTAAATGAATTCCAACTCCCAAAGATAAGAGCGGTGCAAGTTAGCACACACAGGGGAGCAGGGCAAGGCAGCAGACACTTCAGCTTCAAACCTACCAACTCACACGCCCCATTTTCAATAGCTTCACATTTGTCCTTTTCTAGCTCTTTGTAAATACAGGAAAGGAGAGCATTGGCACTTAATAATTTATGCTGGACCTCAAAACGGAAAGTAGGGCAGCCTTCATGTCCCCAGCGCTGAGGGATACGGGACGGATGGCTGACAGGAGTAACAAGACACCATGTGGGAGCAGAGGCCAAACTTTCTGTTGATGCAAAGGAGGCTCCACAAACAGGCTGCCCAAGGCTTTCCACCAAGGAAAATTGCCCTTCTCCCCCTCCCCTTCCTGCCTGCTTATTTATTCTGGGGTTGTGGGGAAGCTGCAAGACTGAGACAGTGGTTTAAACCACAGCTTAAAATGAAAGTACCAGCCCCGCTAGTGTTTTCAGATCTTCCCAAAATGGAGGCCAGAAAATGTGTGCAAGGGGCTGCTCTAAAAATCAAGAGCTAGCAAAAACACGAGCCATGTAACAGCTGGTCTCTCAGAGACAGAACAGCAGATCAGGGCTGGTGTTTCCAGCTCACTTCCAGAAGCCACTTTGATATCCCACTGCCTGTGCTGCCAAAGGAAGCTCAGAGAGGGGAACCACCTGCCCAGGACCATCTGAATTATTTACCAGGGACACTCAGCTGGCGCTATGTCCCACCTCAGTCCCTTCAGACAGTCCTAAGATCACAGTCACACCTTGAGATACCCGCTCCGTGCCCAGCTGGGCTGCAGGTGGGAACGCTGCAGGGTCTGCCCTGGGTGTTCCGTTGTCCCATTCCATACTGCCTGGATGCAGCACCAGTTGTATTTTGTGTCAGTTCCCATCCCTTCCCTATCCAGCATTTGGAGGCCAAATGTAAGGCTCCAGGAAGCTCGCATACTTGGGGTCAATTTTACCTCCTCTAAAATCACAGATGAAACTCACCGAATTATATATGCCCCAGAGCCATGTATACTGCAGTGGGAAAGTTCCCCCACCTTGAGCTTCTGGTCACTCACTGAGGGGTTGCGTGTCCCCAGGAGAAACAGCACTGCAGAGCCAAACTACACCAAAGCTGGGGCTCTGGATGGTTTCCAGCACAGGACCAACCTGTGGGGCAGAAGGCTGGATGGTCTGCCGGCCCGATGAAACTCCACGCCAAAACCACCAAGCTCCCAAGGCTTGGGCAGTTTAAGACGTTCACAGTTCAGCCAAGGCAAGCCGACACAGATGCGTCGGAGAGTGCTAACAGGCCACTGGTCTTCATCTGTTTTACAGCAGATGCTTGTGCCTCCGTGTAATTCTCAGCACGGCAACTTGCACCACTCAAAACGGAGGCCCATGGTATTTATTATCACGGGCAGAGGTGGGCAGCTTGCTGCAGCTGGCCCCTGTGCTGTTCCAGATGGGTACATGAGGCAGTCTGACTACATGGTGTGAAGTTTCAGCACCTATCTAGCTACATTCATGCTACGGGAAAAGAGGTTTGGTTGAACCTTAGTGGGTTCTGGGCACAGGCTCACATCGGGAGTCCCAGTGCCACTGTTCAGCTAATTTATCATCGTTTCCTCACTAAAATGATCTTCAAGGTCATCCCGTCCTCTATCAATCAGAACTGACATTACATCTTTAGCATGGACACATCAGGATTTAACTAGTTTTCCAGACAATATGTTGGAAAGGGTAGCTAAGATCCCTGGCTGCATCTGAGACTTTAAATTAAAAGCTTCTTATTAAAAAAAAGCTTTGTACCTGTACATGAGGGGATGCACAGCTTTGGTACCTACAGAACATGCGCTGCAGGCACATCTATCTTATATGTAACACATACTGGGGGAGCAGATTTCTTTGACTATGAAGTAGGGGGGGTCAAAAAGAGAAAAGATCTGCCTTTCTGCTTTCTCAGCAGAACAGAAAGCGAGGGCCAAACTCCCTAACCCCTTGCTCAGATAAGCTGTTATTATTCATGGCAGCAAATCTGTTTATACCAACATACTCATTTGAGTACAGGTTGTGGAGCTGGGCTCTAAATCCCTGCGTAACAAAGCCTTTGTAACGATCTCGAGTTTGTTCCCAGAGCTCTAAATAAGCACCGTTATGAAATGGCTTTGCGCTGGGTAAACACCACAGAAAGGAGTGGCCAGGCTGGGGGCTGAGCTGTGGGGACAAGCTGAAAAACTGCAAGTGTCTGTGCACAGAGAGCTTTTTTCCAAAGCAAGCTCTGCAAGCAAGAATGAGGCTGGATTTCCCCAGTGTCCACACTTTCAGCATCCCGACATTTCCTTTCCATATATAATCTGCTACTCAGACTCTGACACACCAGATTGGCCCCTGTGTATCACGCTGACATGCAAGCCCAGGCCCCAAGTCACCGTGGTAGCATAGCCTAGCTTGTTCCAGTTTTTTGTTCTGTTTGAAATGGGATGTCGGCCTCCACCTGCCAGCCAGCACGCCTGGTTTGTGCTTGGAGAGTTGGTGCTTTTACAGACAGACTTGGATGCCAGAGTTTGGAGAATTAACTAGAAGGTCTGAGTGTGCCATTCTGCACAGACCCCTTTCTTTTCTTTTCCTAAAGCATTAATAATAAGAGAGAGAGTATCTAAAAACTGGTATTAATAGGTTGATGTCCTTCAGGGAGTCTGATGAAATGTGCTTGTCAGAAAACACTTAGTAGACTGACGGGATGTCCCTGGCAGGCAGGTGAGCAAGCCAGCCTCTGGCTTTTTAATTGTGCGTGGCACAATCTGAGTTCATAGGCACGACATCAAGTTGTGCTTTCACTGAAGAATCTTCCATAATGAGCCAAGAGGACTCTCCAGAGAGCAGAAAAAGGCACGTAAAAGTAAACTGATCAGTTTAGGTAACACGCCACATTCTTGGTCAAGTAGACATGGTTTGATACCGCTGGAACTCACAAGCATAGAGACTCTGGGAATCCAGCAAAAATCTCTCATATCCTTTCACAGGAACATTCCCGACTGGTGAAAAACATGCACAGGAAATCAACTGAGGGTGGGGAGAGGGAGATCACGTAACAAGTCTTCTGTCCGGGCTTTCCCAAGTCGGCCACACTGGCTAATAGCGGTGCTGGTACACAGCTGCTGGGGTAGTGCCGTTCTCTATGTGTTTCAGATGACAGGAGTGACAAAGCAAATGTTCATCTAGCGGGTAACAGCGATGCCCGTCTTCGTCGTTCAGTTCCATGCCGCAGTCCTGCAAAGAGAGGCCATGCAAATTATTAGAGCATGTGTTCATCTTCCACCGTCAAGCGGGGTCTGGCTCCCAGGAGGGTGATTTTGTGACAAGCAGAGAAGACGCCCAGCCAACAGCTCCTTCCTAGTAAAAAGTCCAACATTTGCCACGAGAAGGAAAGCATCTGACACAGGCATTCTGAGGGGCAGCCTTGTACAAACTGTCTTCTGCAGTTCTACTGAATAAGCTTTCTTTTGTGCAGAGGTGCAACCCTATGTATTTTAAATGTGCTCGTGTCTCCTTACACTCTCAGGTAGGATTCACGTCTTCACATTACATTAATTGCAGCTGTACTGATGTGAAACCGGCCTGCTGAGTCTGGGCCTCTTTCCACTGCATACGAGCATGGTGAGAGAAGACATCTATTTATTTTAATTCACAGAGCAGAAGTATGAAGGCTCTCTGGGAAGCCCTGCATGGAGACCAAATGGTGTTTAAGAGCTGGCATCTCTCGGGATTTTTTTGTGCAACCATATCCTTTCCCCAGCCCCAACGACACATTCGTTTCCCATGGGAGGGGAGGTAACTTACACCAGAAAGGATCAGTCATCGCTGTAGCATTTTTGAACAATCTGACTTGGAAATCAGATACACTAATGTGATCTGGAGCTCAAGGCTTCTGAAAGGCAGCAACAGCACCTTACTAAGTCACCACCTTTCCTTCATTAACAAATAAACCGCCAAGTTTAAAAGTGATAATTAACCCTTTGCCCATGATTTTATGGATAGCAAATGAAATTGCAGCTGAGACACATTGCTGCAAAAACTTTTGTCCTCAAACTGGAAATTTCTCAGCCACTGATAGAAAGGGTTGCACAATGCAAGATTTGAATTGCTCATCTGCTGCCATTGGAAGGGAGGACATTTATTTCCATCTTAAAAATAATAGTAATTGTCACTATTAAGTGCCCACTCCCTGAGAAAGCTGCTGACCTACCTCACAGTGGTAACATTCCACATGGTAATCCTTGTCCATGGACACAACCCGAATAGTCTCATCGGACCCCTGTAAGCATTCAAACAAAAAGAGAAATTGCAAAGGATTACAGCAGGATCAGACACACGCACTCTCTAGATTGCTTCCTGCAACAATGTGAATGTTGAACAAATGCATTCGAGCTGCTGGTTGGACACCACAAATAAATCCTGCCACCTGCAGTTATTTTTACAGTAAAGCTTCATCATCGACTGCAGCTATCCTCTAATGTGTAACATCAGAAATGTCAAATTCTCTCTGTTTAACAGCCACATCTATCCCAAATCAGGCATTAATGGTTTGGTAATGTCAATATATCACATTTCCCAGCATTTTAAATTGGTTTTTCTCAAGATTCACCTCCTCCAAGCATTAAAATGAGTTTGTCCCAGAGGGGTCACACAGGGGTCATTCATGAGCACCATTAGCATTTATTGCCATGAAGGAGAGGTATCCCGAACATAAAACTAACAGCATTATAATCCTGCAGGAGATGAAAAAAGCAGCCTGGCTCAGCAGAAATAAGCTTTGTTACCACTCAAAAGAAGAGTCACATCTCAAGGGGAGTGTATGAGCCTAGGTCAAAAGGTTGCACGCTGGGGGAAGCGATCATCTCTCCCCATCCCCAAGGACATGTGTCTCAACATAGGGTCAAGTGTGAACGAGAGAGCAAGGCCTAAGACATGACTGCTCCCTCCCCAGAGGGGATACGAAATAAAAGGCTCTCACCTCGGAGGGCAGAATGGGAAGTCCACATGCTGCACACTTTGGAGCTAAAACTCTGGAAAAGCAATGAGAAAGTGAGGGCAAGTTATAGATCAACACAAAAAGAGAGGCCTGTATGCTCTCGGCGATAAGATGAAAAGTTGCAGCTGTAAATAACTTATCCACAGGCAAGCTTTACATCCTGAGATCATAAATTCATTTTAGGATTGATTAAAAGTAATGCTTGGCACACATTGCTCAGTCAGGCAAAAAAAATCTTACATTTTACATTCAGTGCCAGAAAAAAGAGAAACCCACTGTAGAAATCTTGGCTGCTATTAAGAGATTTGGAAAAGAGAATGAGGAGAAACAGAGCAGGACTGTCCCCAGAAAAACACATTAAAAGAAGTGGCAGCCTTGCACCAGGGCAGGAAACCTCAGAGAAAACACCATGGGACCGTAAGGTTCCTTAAGGCCTTATAACACACCATAGCACGATAAATAAATAATTAAATGAATTAGCAAGAAACGTGCATCATTTCAGAACAGCAGTGGCACACAGAGGCAACTCTAATCTTGGCACAACACAGAACGGTCGCCTGAGCAACACTTAATACTCTGCCTGCTCAGAAAACGGAGCAAGGAGCAAAGTGAGCCAAATGGTCCCTCAAAATGTAGGCAGCTCTAACATCATAACTACCAGCTAAGAGCACAGCCATTTTATTTTACTAAATGACAAGTGGTTTTTTTAAGTGGATTTATCGGTTGTTTAATTTAGAGCTGGATAAATTTCACTTTGATTTCTAAAAGCATTCTTTAAAAGTCAAACTCAGCCCTGTAACTACTCAAAAAGCAGCTCACGTTGATCTCAACAGGCCATTCACAGTCTTTAGAGTGGACTGATTTCTTACATCACTGAACACTTAATGAGCACTATTTCTCACTATCTCTGCTCTGCAGAAGGGGCAGCTGAAGCCCAAGGGTTAAGTGACTTCCTCAGAGTTACACAGAAAGTTGATGGCAGGGCAAGAGGAGAGACATCACGAATTTCTAGGGTCTAGCCCCATCCTCAAAATTCTACCTTCTAATCCTGTCCCTATTTTACTAATCCATGCTTCCTAATTAGCTGAAAAACTAAATTAGAGGCTTATTGATTGGAACATCTCTGCTGTTTATTCTGCCCTTACTTGTGGTAATCTCTGACGCAGTAGATTTTGTTTTCAGCGTCTACGGTGAATGGCACACCATCCAGACACTCGTTGCAGACCACGCATCGGAAGCAGCCTGGATGATATGATTTCCCTAGAGCCTGCAGGATCTGCAACAAACCAAGAGACAGGAAAAATGCATGTGAGCAGCCAATAAAGGTGAAAATAATAAACACGCAGCTTTACATCAGACAATGCTGCATATTCATCAGCGGGGCTGTGTGTTTTTTCAGGCACCTCATCAGAAAAATGAGTTAACAGGGATGGAAAGGGCAGCTGGAATCAATATATATCACCTAGTTCCAGAGAAATGAATTATTAGCATGGGTAAGAAAACAACTTAGAGTCTCAGTCAAGGTATTTAGCATTACAAAGGATAGAAGTGACATAGTTTAAAGGAAAGAAAGTAATTTCTGAAGCCAAGAGTTGGAGAATACTTAGCAGGATCACAAGGCAAGATGTAGCAGGCCAAAAAAAGGAAATACATCTTTATATTCTCCATGAGAGGCTGAAACAAATACTATTGCTAGGGGTTTATAATGCCTTAGATATCCAAGAGCTTTGTACTTGCTAGCCTGGCTTTCTAATTACCACAGACTACGGAAACTGTATTGAACTCAACAGCTGCAATTCACCCTGCTGGCTTTGGGGCAGCAATTACTACCTGGAATACCATTTCTGAGTATAAAATAGCTTTTCCTGGTTTAGTGCTTTCCAGTGTAAGCAGGCAAGCAAAGATAATTAACGGTAAGCATTAGAAAATCTTGGGAGGCGTGCTGTGAACTAACCGCTCAGAAATTCCTAATTTCTATGCCTCAGCTGTAGCTCACCAGCTACATGACCATGAATTTGTCATCTCCCTCTGAATCACCCACAACTGAATGCTGCTGGGTGCCAGTTAAAGGGGCCAGCTGATCCCCTGAGCCGTGACCCATGCCGTGCAAATCTTGAACGGATGGTACCTGTTGTAGGCTAGTGAGAACTGCCTGCTTCAGCATGATGTCCGCCCATCTACTGAATGGTTTTCAAGGACTTGGACAGATCTGAACTGAGGTCTGGACCACATACTCTGGGTCGAGCCTGTTCTCCAAGGTATAAGCCAAACACCTTCCAGCACCCACAACAAGCAGCAACAAGACAGCAGCTTCGTCCTGAAGGTACGTGGGAAGCCACAGCTTGACTACAAAACAGGCTCAGCAGAGCTGCACTGATGCCCCACAGCGAGGGAGCACTGCAGAGCCACGGCGCTTGTGGGCAGGAAACGTTGACAGGATTACGAATACACTGTCCAGGGAAGCCTGAAAGGGGATGAAAGAGCTGAAGGCTCTGATTTTCAATTTGCACTCAAAACAGGCAGAAAAAGTCTCTGCATCGCATACAGCAGGGTGCCAGCCTCACTTCCTCGCAAAAATCAACAACAGGCTTAGTGGATTTTCTTTCTGCTACCAATCTCACACTAGGCAGACTACCAGATGATAGCAGACAGTACTGGATATGAATGTATTTTGCTTTTGATGCATTCTTCTAAAAAGCTGTGGGATTTTTTCTCCTAAAGCAATTATCACTTACCATGTCCATTATCAAATGACCACAAATGAAACACCTGTCAGCTGACTGCTGGAAACCAGAATACTGCAAGGACAAAAAAGAATTGGCTTAAAATTTCGCAAGGCTAGTCGAGCATAAACAACAGCATATTATGGGGCGTTATGTGCTTGGCTTTTTTCTGTACTCCTTACACAAGCTAAACTTTCCAGTGCTTTTTTTAGTTTGTGAAGCTTTGGATGGGTCCCTAGAGGATATTCTATACAGACATCGGACTTCCACTGTTCAGATGGAGGTTCCTGTAACTTTCAAGTCCTAAATTTAAGTTTAATTAAGAATATAAGTAAATACCATAAATGCACATGCAGATAAGGCATTTACTAATAAGACGTACATTCTTATTTGACCATGTGAATCTACACGCCAAGCACTTACTTGTGTTTATCACAATGTCTGTATATATAGGCTTGTAAAGCCAAATTCTTCCTTTGGTTACACTGTCAGAGGTCCACTGGAGAGGTCTACTATACTATGAGTATACTATACTATTATACCAGCTCTTTGGTAGTATAACATTCCTTTTTGGCCTGGGGCACCTTTCTTGCTGCTATTGCTAAGATCTAATGGTAAGGAACCACCTGTCATGTCCACGCCATGCACCTCAGGCACAACACATCATCTGTCCAAGGTTTCAGTCCTGTCTGAATGGTGGAAGTGCAAACTGGAAAAATGAAATATTTTAGATGCATTTAGATGCACCAGTCTTTCCATTTTCAGCCTGGGTAGAAAATACTGATGAGAGCAAAGAAGATTAACTCACTTCTCTCTGACAGAAATCACTAGACTTCCCCAATAAACAGGCAAATATGACTTTTTCATGTCTCAATCTATGGCTTAATCTGTGAGGGCTGGAGGGCAGGGGGGTATACGGCTTTTTACCTCCACCAGCCGAGGACCACGGGGTTGCTTCATGCTCAGGCACGTTCACACAAAATCCATTGAGTGCAACAGAAAGACATCCATTAAGAGGCCCAAGCAAAGCCAGTTCACTGGAAAGTGAAATTCACTCATCGATTCTTCTGTAGCCATTCATCTTGCTCCTGTCTCCACAGCATGGCCACAGAGATACGCTTTGAAGGAGCCATTGCCAGAGGCTATGGCTTCAACTACAGGCTCTGCACTGCAAAACCATGGTCTTTTCCAGTACCACATGTGGGTGGCCACCATGGCTGGGGCTGGCACTGGGTAAAGGGGGAGCAGAAGGGCCAGGCAGGATGCTGGACTAGAGCCGGGTGAAATGTGGGCAAAGCTGCTGGGCAGAAAGGCTGTGTGTCTGTCAGAGAGGCTGAGACATGCCAGCACAAGGATGAGCTGTGTGCTTACCAGGAAATCTTCTTCACAGAACACCTTGCCATTGACGAAATAAAAGGCTTTTCCTCTCAGCTTTCGACCTGAGGGAAAAACAAAGAGAGAAGAGAAAGGTCAGCAAAGAGCGAGGAGAAAATGTGAGCAAAAACTGGCTGATGAGAAGACAGCAACAATGAGGACATCCAAGCATGGCCGCTGCACAGATGGAGAAGAGCACACAACCCTGGCATGGGCCTTCCCAGCCTCCAGTGCGATGAACCCCATCTCCTCTTCCACGGGCAGTTGCTGGATCTGGACAACAGTCTCACCTCCAGGCAGGAGGAGGTAGCTTTGCAAGCCTGGACCACCTCCTGGCAGATTACAAGATGAAATAACCTGGGGCAAGAGCAAGTGAGGGTACTGTGACTCACACCAGAAAACACCCCAGGAGAGGAGCAAGGAGAAGAAAGGGCATGCAGGGGGTGAGCCACACCGTTCCTCAAAATGTAACCTCCCATGCTGTTCCACTAGAAGGTGCCTTCAACCAGCAGCTGCCAGATAAGCCACTGCAATACCTGACCACCCGGTCTGCCTCCAGTAGAGTGCAACAGCAGAGCACCGAACACGCTTCACTCTGCTCCCTACCAGCATATTCATTACTGTGGCTGCCAACAAAAATCTGAAAGCACGTAAAAGAAAAATATATTTTTTTCAAACCAGAATGTCCTAACAGAGATAAGATGACAAAGTTTTTCCAAGAAAGGACTCTACACATGGGGAAGATTTATATTTACTGCAGTTTTTGTGTTTATGCCTCACATTCACCGTCTATTTTCAGTTCCACACAACTATGGCAACACATGCTCAGGCTGCTGCCACTTCTTCTAAATGCCCTGCCTTCCCCCTGGAGGAATGGGCTAGGTTTTGTTTGTTTATAAAAAGCTGCTACTACCTCTTTGCAGCCCAGTTTCCCTATTTAGCCAGGGGTTTGAAATGCAGCCTAGCACTGGCGTGGCTCTGCTTGCTCTGTCTGCTCAGTGAAGGAGCCCCAAGCCCATGCCCGGAGGCAGTGCCCAGGACAGGGGAGCAGCACTGCCGGGCACAGCTGGAGCAGGACCTGCCGCAGGCTCGTTTCGGGGACCTGCCAGGCATTGCTGGAAGGAAATCGGAACTGAGACACCAGGGCCCTGGGCCTGGGCATATTATACATATGCATGTATAATTAAAAAGTTATCATCATCTGCTAGGTGTATAAATGCAGATGACACATGGGACTGGTCTGGAGCTCACTTCTCGGTGCTTTATGGCATGCACCTACCTGGCAGCCCTCGACTGTGCTAGCTGCAAAGTATTAAGAAAAGGAGGAAGCCAAGTAAATCCACTTAAATAAATTAAGAGCTTTACCGTCTCCTGCACACGCCAGAGGGCACTCTCAGGCTGGGAAACAACTCGTGCTGCTCCTTGGGAAATGGAGATGCTCTAGTGAAGCTCTAAAGTTTTGCCAGTTGATTCAGCCAGACCAGCGTTTCACCAGTGGCCCTTAGTGCCCAGCCCAGGTTTCAGCCAGCAAGGCGGGCAGAGGACGTGGCGGCGCGTTTCTCCAGGAACAAGCCCAGGTTTGCATGTGCAGCAGCTTTGTGGTCAAGCTGCAGGCGTTGCTCAGCCGCATCTTTACCAGGCGGCGTAGGAGCCGGAAGCACACTGCCCTGACACGCTTGTTGTCCCCTCTTCTCCTCTAATCCCTGCTGGGGACAATCGTGTTATCCACAGGCCAGCCCATCCTTTCACCAACGTGGGTGTCACACGGGACATGGAAGAAAACCTGACAAACCCAAAAGCATCCTGCTCTGATTTCTCTCACCCACCCTGATGCTTTGCCAAGGTTGCCGACACCAAAGCAGGACCTGGAACCCAAAGTAAAAAGTATCTAATCTTGGATGCATTAGCTTTGTGGCCCATAACCCAGGGTGTGTATTTGTAGGATAACCCCTCCTGTGTGCCTGCCCATCCACAGGTAAGGCCGGCACGCTCGCTGGCAGTCGCAGAGTCCCAATTCCTGAGGAGGGGAAAGAGAGGTATGAGGATACCTGGATTTGCAGCACCCTTGCCAACGGTGGTCCTAAGCGAGTTAACAATAAGCCTAATGCAGCAAGAAGTGCCCCCCAAAATCTCCCGCTGATTTAAATACAGTATTGGGATTTGGCACTCATAAAAATAAAAAACAAAAACCACTTAACTTTGATTTTACATTACGCAGTAGCGCTAGGGCTCCACTTTAGTGCAACAGGCAGGTGCCTAAGCAACTTTCCACCTGCATGCAATGTCTCTCCTTAAAGACAAGCTGGCAGCAGTGAGGAAAAACATAAGACATGGAGCCATGCAATGAGGAGACACTTCTTTGGATGACGAGAGCAGCAGCCGTCACGGCAGAGGGAATGAAGTTTGGATTGCTGCCACCACGTCATTCTTCCACAGTGACAAAACCAGCATTTACCAGCCATTCTGCACCCGGTATATTTTTAACCCTGTGACATTAGCAGGTCAAGATTGATGGCAACAGACCTTCAGAGAAGGTGACACACACTGTGTTTGGGCTTCTGCTGCAAGCTTATTCAGCAGAGGCATAAGCCCCTTTATAAAGGATTTATAGTTTGGCTGTTGGCATTACATGGGCCCATGAGGAAGAGGTCCTGACACCAAAAACACTTTGAGGAAAAGGGGTTGGAATGATTTAATTACTTTATTTAGGGAAGAAGTGGTCATTTTGACTATTTTTAGCTCCTCTCCATAACTCTCTTTAAGCCTCTGGCAGAAACATAAATGGAAATTTGCCAAAAAAGCAAGTAACTAGGTACCCCTGCAGCTGCTGCAGGAGTGGTGCATGCAGAGACAATTTCTTCCTCTGCTGCTCCCAGCCTCTCCCTGTCCACATCGGTATGGACTTCTCCTCCCACCACCCCTTTGAGGTGAGGAAGCATCTCCTCATCGTCCTTGCTTTCATGGGAAAGCAAGATGCAGGAAAAGCTCACTTCCCCAGGCTGTGCTGGGGACCGTCCCAGCAGAGCTGGGAAATGCACGTTCTGGCTGTGGCCACACCAGGAACACAAGCCGTGCTGGGACTGCCCCACTGTGCAGAGCAGGGTAGCAGCAGCTTCTCCCCCTGTGCTGAGCTCCCTGCCACGGGACGGCACCTTAAATTAAACAAGTCCCTCTTAAAAACAATACTTCTGACTGTGTGCCTACAGCGGCTGGCAAAGGTTTCGCTTGAGCATCGAGTTGCTGTCATAATTTCACCACAAGGAAGTACTGAGAACTTTGAAATGGCATATAAAGAATCACATATCGATCGCTGCCTACTTTAAATATGCATCATTTTAAATATGCATCACTTTAAATAATATACATCATGACTACAGAGACAATATCCTTTGATAAACCCAGGAATATTAATGTGTGGCTTGCCGCTTTCAGGATCAATTGCTCGACTACATGTCTCAAGCTGCTGGCTCCTGACTGTATTTCACTTTCACTTCACCCTGAATTTAGCTAATCTCTCACCTGAAAAAATTCAGACAGTTAAAATTCTTTTGCATTTCAACCCTACCATCTTCACCCGTTGTTACAAGATTTCTTGATCCTCTTCCTGACAGGAGGTTTGAGCCTTGTGCTTTTATGTGCTGCTCATCCCTAACATGTCTGTCTAATCTGTTTAGCTGTGGGACCTTCAGGATGACCTCGAGGTCATTTCAGCACCAGTTTCAGAATATTTCAAGCTTAGTCACTAGTGCCTTTGTGCTAAAATAAACACACTTTGCTTAGCAGCTGATAATAGGCATAGCATCAGGCTGCACTCCCAGGATGCTGGTGCTTTTGTCCATCGTTTTCTCAGATGACAGCTCTCTCCTTTTGAAGTTCATACAGAGAGGGGGTTACCAGGGACGTGCAATGGCCCAAGGAGGATGCTGGGAGATGCATCATTTGCTTGCTGGGGAGCTAGACCCAACTTATTTTTTGAAGTTACTTTTCTGTTGTTTATTAAAAGGCCAATGGGGTCAAAAAACTCATGCTCAAAGACAAGAGATTGCTCTCAATGTATGTAATGGTACAGGGCCACATCCAGATCCCAGAACTCTATAGGGGTGCATGACCAGGACCTCGCATTGCTGGGGTGGCAGCGTGGACCTCACTTATCACTTATCTAAGCACCATGGAGCTCCCTGCAGTATCTGCACAGCAGATGGGCAAGAATCATTGCAGACTGGCAGCTGCTCCCAGGTCCTTTCCCTGCTGACAGCTCTGGGCCCCTGTCATTATAAAAATCAGTCCTTCTGTAAGGGTGCCGCAGCTGTACGATAAATTTGGACACCTGATTACTAATGGCAGGTTAAGTACCAAAGGATTTCATTTTCTGGATTCAGTGGATGTCACCTCCTGACACGCTAGCGGGACAGCAGGCTGGAGACACCATCCGTCTAGCTGCTAAGGATTGAAACAAGCTCCTCGTCAGCCCTGGGTGGCTCTGGCTCAAGCTGCAGTCCCTCCCCCAGTTTTCGTTTCCCCCATGTAAAGCTGCGAGGAGGTTCAGACTGAGGAACCTACTCTGGTCCGTGCACACCCTGCAGGCAGCCCAGTGGGCGCAGACAGAGCCCAGAGACCTCAGCTCCCCCATACCATACAAAAATCCCTGCTGCCCACAGATCAGCAGCACAAGACCCGCTGGTGCCTGGCCAGCACATGTGATTTTGGAGCCCTCCACAGCTACTGGCTTTGCTGACAAGCAGTAGGGTGTCCTACTGTGTGCCGCAGACAAGGTCGAGCATCAGAGAGCTCTACTTAATTTCTGCCATCTGTGTTATTTCTGTGGGCCGCCATTAAAGCTGGATGCAGCGCTGAGTCTGGCACAGAAGCGTCAACATTTCCAACCTGCTCTTGAACTGGGGCTGCACAGAAGAGTCACTTAGATGCCTGCACACCCTCCAGATCAGGTAAATTCAATGACTGTGATCAACTGGCAGATGTCCCAGGTCAGGTCACAGCCTTGGTGAAACCATGGGCAGGAGGATAGGACGTCTCTTAGAAAAAAGCTGTGCTAAGGCACAGCAGC